GTGTCAGGCCCTGGGCTGAGCAGGTTTTTTTCCCTACTAAAGGGATCCTTCCAGCAGCTCTGCTGAGTAGAAGGTGTCATCATTCTAATCCTACAGTTGATTAGAAGTGATTGACTTAAGGTCAGCCCTGGGTTTAAACCTACTTCCAGGTGCTTTTCTCACGCCCCAAATGCCCATCTCCTTTACCAGGCCAGGTGACTTACTGCAGGGGCTGAGGGAGCATCAGTGGCCAACCCCTAGCACTCGCCGGCCTTCCGTAGGAGGGGCGCCTCTGCCTTTGCCCTCGCCTTTCTAAACATCCAGGTCAGGGCAGCTGCCTCAGAACGTCATTCTGGCCCCAAACCCTGGAAAACCCACCTTTCCCGTCCATCTCTAAGAGACTAGTGAATTGGCAAGTGCAGGGAGTTGGTCCCTCCAGCCTGAGGGGCTCAGCTAGGAGGTCTCTGACTGTGAAATTTTCCCTGCTCAACGTGTCAGTTTCTTCATCTGTAAAAGACATGATAGTTTTCAAGCTGGGTTTTTACAGTGGAACTCTAATAAAAAGCTCGTCTAAATTGAGCACCAGCTACCTCACACACGTCCTCCCACCCTTCTCCCATTCTGAGTGCCAGGGAAGACTCCCATATCAGCAAGGGTTGGGGTCAGAGCTGGCACCCAGGCAGCTGTCGTGCCCCAGGCTGGTGATCTAGGGAGCTCAGAGTAAGGGAGAGAAAAAGAGGGAGCCATTTGAGCAGCTCCGGTCTCCTGGTGTTCTGCTGAGACTTCTCTCTGGATGGTGTCCCTGCTACAGGGACTAGAGCAGCACCCCCACAACAGTGCCTAGGCCACAGCACCCCCAGTGAAAGTATCTGGGAACATTCTGGTTCCTCTCATGAGCTGCCTTCCCCGTGACTGTGGCTGTGCCCCACATAGTGCAGATCCTTCTTGGTGACAAACCACGGGGCTCACCATTTCAATTCAGAAAATAGTCAGAGTAGACCTCAGGCATGCCTGTGTTGTGACTAGGAATGCCTGTGTTGTCACTGCACCAGGAGTTGTGGGACTCTGCCATCACCTGGTGGCAGCACGTCTAATTGCAGACACTCACACACACACACAAGCGTGCACACACTATAACAATGCTAGGAGGTCCTCTTCTCTCCCCTGTTGTGTTCTTGCTCACCAAAGGCCTGCCCAGCACTGGCAGAGGGGCTGGGCTAGGGAGCTGCTCGTGTGGACGCATGGCCACAGCCGCCCCTTTGACTTTCAGATCCGACTGCGGTGCCAGAAGGGCATCCCGCCTTCTCTGCGGGGCCGTGCGTGGCAGTACCTGTCAGGGGGCAAAGTGAAGCTGCAGCAGAACCCTGGAAAGTTTGACGTGAGTTTCCCTTCCTTCCTCGCCCTTCCTGCTGCGTCTCTCGGCATCCTCCCCGGGCCTGCGATCCCCCATGAGCTCACCTGGACCTCAGCAGGGTGAGCAATGGATAGAGCTTTCAGTCACGTGCCCTAGTGCCCAGGCCCCAGCAGGCCAGACCGGCCCAGTCTTTGTCCCTGTGCTTCTGGAGGAAGACTCAGCTGGATGGACAGATTTGCTAGCCCTCATCCCGGCTGTTTCTCTTGATACTCCCCACTCCCGGCTGTTTCTCTCGACAGCCATCCAGGTTTGCTGTCTTGGGCTCAGCAATTAGGAGGCCACACTCAGACTACTTCCCTGACTTCTTTGGGCCTTATGCCCGGTAGGGCCACAGGACCCTCATCACCTGTACGCTCTCCTGCCTCGTCCACCTGTGTGACCGTTAGTCCTGGGAATGGCAGAGTCCTGGGGTTACCCTGACTCACTAGCCAGACCTGACCGTAGGCATCAGGGTTTCTCTCGGGCCCTTAGGACTGGTGACAGGAAGACAGTGAGACAGAGCTGCCAGTCACCAGCTCTTTCTTGTCATACTTGATGCTTCAGTGAACACTCCTGTCCTGCCAAACCCAATTTCTGAGGAGTGGGGTAGGGGAGGAATGGAACAGTCTAGAGCTTCTGCTGTTCACCGGGAGACGAGAGCTATTGCTGATAGCACTTGGCCCTAGGGGTCGGGGGATTGGTAGAGTGTCTGGCTGGGGCAGTTCTGAATCAGGGCAATTGGACTACCCCACAGAGCACCAGCTCTCACTAGAACGACCTCTAGACTCCAGAGTCTTCCTCCCACTGCCCACATCTCCAGTTCAAAGGCCACATCCTGGGCAGAGCAGGGCTCAGGGGTAGGGGCTCTACTCCAAGTCCACAGCTTACATCAGGCTGCCGGAGCCCAGGCATGAGAGCCCAGCGTGGGCTGCGGTTCGGCAGGGGTGTGTGTGTCCGAGCACGGAGCTGTGTGCGTGCGTGTGTGGAGTGGTGCATCTGAGAGGATGGGGTCCGGACAGTTGCTTGTGTGAGGAGCCAGACTTGCTGAGAGAGGCCTCGACGCAGTGAAACTGAATGGGGTTCCCATGGCTGTCCTGGGGACTGAAAGAGTGGTTTGTAAGCACACCTGAAAGGACTTTGCCTGTGGCTTCCCTGGAGGAAGCAGACAGGGGTGAAAAGCACCTACTGGCTGCCACGGGTGTGTGAGCCAAGGCAAGGTACGGTGAGGGGATGTGGTGGCAGCACGTACCTGTCCCTGTGCCCCTCCCCCAGAACCCTCCATTTGACACTGCAGCCCAGGTGGCTGGCCCCAACCTCAGCAGCCAGGGCAGGTTCTGTAGGCCCTGGCGGCTCCATGTCTCCTGCACTTGCTGTTTCTTCCTCCTTCCTTGGGCAGGCGGGACCTTTCTGACCTTTCGCCCTGGTTCTCTCCCCTGGCTTCACCTCACATTGGCACCAGCGGCTCTCAGGTTCCCAGAGGCTGCAGGCCCAAGCAGTGACAGCAGCTCTGGCTCGTCTGCCAGCACTCTTCCTCCCCGTGGGCCTGTTCTCACTAAGCCCTGTGTGGTCGAGTGCCCTGGGCTGCTAAGGTGCCAGATGAGCCCATCCCAGGAACTGGCTCTGTGGTTCTTAGGTCCCTACCTCATAGGAGCCACTCCTTGCCTTTCTGACAAAAACAGACCTGCACTGGTTCCAGACAGTATGGAGGGGTGCGGGTCTCTGAGGCCTAGACAGCGCACACCCACCCCCTCCACTGTGTGCTTGCCCCCGGGCCCTCTGCAGAGGCCCCAGCCCCTCTTGCATGCTCCGGCTTGGAGCAGTGTCAGCCTGTCCTCTTGGCACTTCTGTACTCAGGCTCCCGGTACCTTCAGTTCTTCAGCTCAGTGCAGGCCCCCTGCACACACACTGAAGGGCACAAGAGGGGAAGGGGCTTGTACGAAAGCACCTGCTGCTCAGGGCCAGGGCCTGGCCTCCTTCCCGAGGGCCCTCTCTGATATTACCCCTGCCTGCAGGCAACTTGGACTTACCCCACTTCTCTGCTCAGCCCTCTGGGTTCCCATCTAATTTATTTTTACTTTCTTTTTTAAAAAAATTGAAGTATGAATTTACATAAAGTCAAATGCACAGATCTTGAGAGTGCAGTTCAGTGAGTTTTGACAAAACACCTTCAGGCAGCCACCATGCGAGTCAGGATAGCCAACATTTCAAATAACGGAGAAACGATTCTTCTTTATGTAATAGCTTTGCTATTTATATGTATATATGTATTTTCATTTGCTATAGGGCTCACACGGAGGGAAAGTGAGAAAGCACCCCCCAGGGGTCATGGCCCGGGGGAGATGACCATGTCCCTTCTCCATTCTCCTTTCGGAGTTTTGGACACACTTGAACATATACCTGGCCTGTTTTTCAATCTGCTGGGTCTGGAACTTGAACTATATAGTTGGCCATGTGGGATTCAGCCACCTTAATCACCATACTACTGGCTGGTTCTGGCTTCGTGGTTTTCATAAAGGTATACGTCCTTAAAATATTCACAACATTCAAAGAAGAGAGGGAAAACTTGAAATTCCAGCACCCAGAGACTAGTGAACACCTCGGGTTAATGGTGTGACAGATCCCATGTCCTCACCACAGTGCTCTGTGTGCATCGTGTGCACACACACACCCTTCCTTTCCTGAGCAGGTGATGTCACCTCCCCATGGAGGTGGGTGGTGGCAGAGGAGTTGGGATTGATGGATCCAAGTCAGACCGGGCTTTTGGTCCCAGCCTCACCATTTTTCTTAGCGGCCCTTGGGAAAGTGACTTCCTCGCCCCTCAGTTTCCTCATCTATGGACAGGTTGTAATGACAGGACCTGTCAGGAGTTGGAGAAGTCAGTGAGGCCCTCAGATGCTTTGTGCTCAGCTCAGCACCTGTCTCAGAGCATGGTGACATGGCAGCTGTTGCTTAAGTGACCTTTCCTCACTAGGAGGTGACATAATGTACAACTCAGCTGAGTCTTGAATAACGAGCCTAGGGTTATCCAGCCGTACTGAGATGGGACACTTGCCCACACACGTCTTCCCAGAGCCAGGGTCATCCCTTAGAGTTTCCAGGACCCTTGTCCCTTCCCAGGCCTCCTTACCTGGCCTTCCCTACCTGCCCCCAGGAAGGCCCTGTCCTGAGATGGGACTGAGCAGGCCCTACCGCAGCAGAGGGCTGCTTCAGTACTAGGACAGCGTGGCCTGCCAGGAGTCCCCTCTCTCAGCCCCTAATATGTGCCTTGCCCTTGCTTCCAGGAGCTGGACATGTCTCCTGGGGACCCCAAGTGGCTGGATGTGATTGAGCGTGACCTGCACCGGCAGTTCCCTTTCCATGAGATGTTTGTGTCCCGAGGGGGCCATGGGTAAGCAGGCTGGCCCTTGTGGGCTAGAAGGGGCTCTGTGCTCTGGCCCTCACAGGACAGTAGGTGCAGTGAGTGTGGGTGTCTCTCGGGAGCCTGGGAGCTGGGCGCCCGAAGCTCTGCTCTGACAGTCAGGGTTCTGTTTATACGTCCTTAAAATATTCACAACATTCAAAGAAGAGAGGGAAAACTTGAAATTCCAGCACCCAGAGACTAGTGAACACCTCGGGTTAATGGTGTGACAGATCCCATGTCCTCACCACAGTGCTCTGTGTGCATCGTGTGCACACACACACCCTTCCTTTCCTGAGCAGGTGATGTCACCTCCCCATGGAGGTGGGTGGTGGCAGAGGAGTTGGGATTGATGGATCCAAGTCAGACCGGGCTTTTGGTCCCAGCCTCACCATTTTTCTTAGCGGCCCTTGGGAAAGTGACTTCCTCGCCCCTCAGTTTCCTCATCTATGGACAGGTTGTAATGACAGGACCTGTCAGGAGTTGGAGAAGTCAGTGAGGCCCTCAGATGCTTTGTGCTCAGCTCAGCACCTGTCTCAGAGCATGGTGACATGGCAGCTGTTGCTTAAGTGACCTTTCCTCACTAGGAGGTGACATAATGTACAACTCAGCTGAGTCTTGAATAACGAGCCTAGGGTTATCCAGCCGTACTGAGATGGGACACTTGCCCACACACGTCTTCCCAGAGCCAGGGTCATCCCTTAGAGTTTCCAGGACCCTTGTCCCTTCCCAGGCCTCCTTACCTGGCCTTCCCTACCTGCCCCCAGGAAGGCCCTGTCCTGAGATGGGACTGAGCAGGCCCTACCGCAGCAGAGGGCTGCTTCAGTACTAGGACAGCGTGGCCTGCCAGGAGTCCCCTCTCTCAGCCCCTAATATGTGCCTTGCCCTTGCTTCCAGGAGCTGGACATGTCTCCTGGGGACCCCAAGTGGCTGGATGTGATTGAGCGTGACCTGCACCGGCAGTTCCCTTTCCATGAGATGTTTGTGTCCCGAGGGGGCCATGGGTAAGCAGGCTGGCCCTTGTGGGCTAGAAGGGGCTCTGTGCTCTGGCCCTCACAGGACAGTAGGTGCAGTGAGTGTGGGTGTCTCTCGGGAGCCTGGGAGCTGGGCGCCCGAAGCTCTGCTCTGACAGTCAGGGTTCTGTTCGCTGGTGTGGTCCAGTGGGTTCTCCTTTCCCTCTGGAAAAGCCTTGTTACCCAGAGTGCTAGAGCTTGCCCAGGCTCTCTTCTGGAAACAGGCTTTGCTGGGGAGACAGAGGGTTAGAATCAGTTGTTTAGGCAGATGGTATCCAGGAAGGGAGAGATGACATGGGCAAGACAGAGGCCTGGGGCCACAGTGGCCTGGCCACGGGACCACAGTAAGCAAGCAAGGTGCTCCCACGTCCGGCCCCTGACACATCCTTCCTGGCCCCGCCCCTGCTTTTTCTTTGAGCTTCTGCTCCTGTCTGTCGGGGGGACCCCTCCCTGCACTCCTCCTCTGACCCAAGTGCAGTAGTGGGAGACTGACCCTGGTTGCCACAAGCAAATCCCCTCCCTTCTCCAGGGCAGTGGTGAGCAGAGTCACAGTTGTCATCACTGCCTCACTGGCCTCTCCACAGCCAGCAGGACCTGTTCCGTGTGCTGAAGGCCTACACGCTCTACCGGCCCGAGGAGGGCTACTGCCAGGCCCAGGCGCCCATTGCCGCTGTCCTGCTCATGCACATGCCGGCTGAGGTAAATGCCAGGCCCCAGTGGGTGGACCAGCAGATGGCCCCCACAGCAAGGCCTCACGTCCCTCTCGTCCACAGCAAGCCTTCTGGTGCCTGGTACAGATCTGTGAGAAGTACCTGCCCGGCTACTACAGCGAGAAACTGGTGAGTACACGTCTGGCCTGGGACCCCTCCTGCAGGCATCACAGCTTCCAAGCCGCCTCCATCTCTGCCTCCAGCTGCTCTGGCCCTGGCTGGGCTCGAAGGTCCTCCCGGGGACCAAATTCCTGCCGCGGCCTTGCATAGGCTTAAACCTCTACCTGGATACTGTTCTCCCCTCCTGCCCTGGAAAACTCCTCTCTCTCAGCTTTCAGTCTGGGGAGCTTCCCTTGACCTCAACAGGCGGGACCCTCTGACACGTGCCATCCCTGCATGTCCTGGGCACTCAGCCCCCGCCCCCACCCCGGTCTCTGTGTGCTGGGACCTGTTTTCACCATGAGGAGCGCCCGCTGTGTCTGGTCTGCTCATTGTTGTGTCCCAGCAGTCAGAGGCTGGCCTGCCCCAGCCACAGAATGAATGGCTCCCATGGGCCAAGGTCATGTGGCCTCACTGTCCTCCCAGGAGGCGATCCAGTTGGACGGGGAGATCCTCTTCTCGCTGCTGCAGAAGGTGTCACCTGTGGCTCACAAGCACCTCAGCCGGCAGAAGATCGACCCGCTGCTCTACATGACGGAGTGGTTCATGTGTGCCTTCGCCCGCACCCTGCCCTGGAGCTCCGTGCTGCGCGTCTGGGACATGTTCTTCTGTGAAGGTACCGAGCTGGGCCAGGGGCAGTGGCCAAACCCCCTCGAGGCTGCCTTGCACTCACTGCCTGCCCTCCCTAACAGGAGTCAAGATCATCTTCCGGGTGGGGCTGGTGCTACTGAAGCATGCGCTGGGCTCCCCTGACAAGCTCAAGGCCTGCCAGGGCCAGTACGAGACGATCGAGCGACTGCGCAGCCTCAGCCCCAAGATCATGCAGGAGGCCTTCCTGGTCCAGGAGGTGCGGCCACACCTGCCCCTCCCCCTGGGAGGGAGGGGGAGACACTGGGGTCCCCAAGGGTGGGTCACCATGCCAGGCCTGCTGGTCAGCAGCCGAGGATGGTGGGAATGGACCTCACGCCCCTGCCCCAGCCGGGGACCGGGGAGCAGGGAGGCTGAGGATCTCAGGACCTTCCTTATCTGAGCTGCTCCGGAATGAAAAAGAGCTGCCACCCCTATGTACCCCTCTTCCTCCCGCGTGCACGGCCTTGGCGTCACTCTCCCTTTTATCTTTCTTTGTGGATACCCGTCTCTCAGGAGCAGTAATGAGGTGACACATGCATGGCAGCTTCTCTGGGGTGAGGCTGGGGCCAGGCTGGGGCGGGGCCGGTGCCAGTGCGTTTGGCATGAGAGCAGTGGCTCGTTTTCACACGCTTCTTGCACCAGCTGCTGAGGGCTGTGGCACTGTCCCTGTTTTACACCGAGGAAGTGGAGGTTACAAAGTGACCCCCCCCAAAGTCACCCAGCTAGGAAGTAGAGTTGGCTATGGGCCTAGGCAGCCGCTGCCCTGCCATGTGGGCACACGTGGGCAGAGGGCAGGCTTTGCTGTCTGGGCCGTGCCCCTCCCACCCCATAGTTGGGCAGGTGGACTTGCGAGTGGTGGGCAGCATTCTCCTCTGAGGCAGTGGACTTTGAGTGGCCGGCTCACCTGGCACTCAGCACTGGGGCTTGTGACCACAGCTAGGGACCAGAACCCCATCCTTCCTGGGCAGCCTTTAGTGGCCAGGGCTGGGGGATACCAAGGAGAATGGGGTCCAGGCTGGGAGGCAGATGGGGAAGGTCCCTCCCCTGGTGCCCACCTGCCCCTCGCTGCTCCTGCAGGTCGTAGAGTTGCCCGTGACGGAGCGCCAGATCGAGCGCGAGCACCTCATCCAGCTACGACGCTGGCAGGAGACCCGCGGTGAGCTGCAGTGCCGCTCCCCACCCCGGCTGCATGGTGCCAAGGCCATCCTGGAGGCGGAGCCCGGCCCGAGGCCTGCCCTGCAACCTTCGCCATCCATCCGCCTGCCCCCAGATGCTCCCCTCCCTGTTTCCAAAGCCAAGGCCAAGCCGCCCAAGCAGGTCCAGAAGGAACAGCGGAAGCCCTCGAAGGCGAGTGGGCAGCCGGACCAGCCCCTGACCCCCAATCAAGCTGCAGTGGTGACCGCTGCAGGAGATGCATGTCCCCCACAGGATGTGCCCTCAGAGGACCCAGCCCCCCAGGACTTGACTTCCCAGGACTCAGCCCACCACCACTCCCGGGAGAGCCTGACATCCCAGGAGAGTGAGGACACCTACTTGTAACCTCGGCGGCTCAGGCCTCCGGACGGGGTCTCCACACACCTACACGGTTCATGGACAGACACTCCAGGGCCTGCCTACCCTCTGAGGCGCAGATGCCCGGTCTGGGCCCGGGGTAGTCTGGCTGGCCCAGAGCAGACTCTGCCTGAGCCTCCTTATTTATTTTCTCTAGAGTGGAGCTGGGGCTGGCCCAGCCAGGGTGGGCCCAGAGGTGGGGCCTCGCTCAGCCCCCTCCTCCTGGGGGTGCTCCCCAGTGCTAGGGCGCTGGCGTGAGGGCAGAGGGAGGGCGGCTCTTTGTGTAAAATAGAAACGTGGTTTTGTACAGATATAAACAGGCTTGTGTAGAGGGCCAGAGTGTGGCTAGGGACCAGGAAGGGATCCATCTGGGGCTCCGCACCTCTTCTCCACACCTCTGGGCCCCCCACCCCGGGTCCCAGCCCAGTGTTAGAGCCTCTCTGAGAGGTACTTTGCCAGAGGAGATGTGAGTGCAGGGCCAGTCCCTGTCCTTGGTCCCCATGTGGTCCATCTTCTGCCATGGGCCTCGGTCTCCCCCATATGGAGGGGGGGGTGCTTCCTAAGGAGGTAGTTTTCAGGATTTCCTCCTCTGAGGCCTGGTCTCGTTGCCTCTCCCTGCCCCAGTAAGATTCGGAGTGACCGCTTGGGTTGGAGGGGTGAAGGGACTGTGAATGTTTTCGTGTGCTCAGCCCAGGCCTCCACTGGAGGCAGAAGAGAGGGGAGAAGTCTGGGTCCCAGAATAAATGCCACCTCTGCTGTCTGGGCACTTGCCGTGTCCCATGCCTGGTCAGGTCGTCTGTTATCCCCGTGTTGAGCCAGACCCCTCACTCAGCCCGTCCTGACCAGGGTTCCAGGTGACCTGACCCTGCGATGGAGGACCCAGGCAGGCGCCATGGTCACAACCTGATGACTGGCGAGAGTGAGGACACGGTGTCCCTGGGAGAGGCCCCCCTTCTGCTGAGGAAGCAGCTTTTCCAGTCAAACAATAGTGGCTGTTCCTGGCAGGGGACCAAGCTGGGCCAGGCGGTGGGGGAGGGCGCTGGGGAGGGAGGAGCGGAGCCTTCCCGGGAGCTTTCAGCCTTCGTCTGGGCCTAGAACATCTTGTTCTGGTACAGACAGGGATACTGAGGCCTGGGGAGGTGAAAGGTCACCCAAGACAATCAGGGCAGGCACCCACTTCCTGCCTGCGGCCTCGTATCCCTGGGTCTCCCATCCCATCTGCACCTGCACTGATGCGGTGGGCTCAGCCTTTTGGGAGCCCTCCTCCCTCCCCCTGTCCTCCATGGGCCGGATGGGATGTGGCAGCGCAATGTTCCACAGGAATCGGCCAAGCCCGAGTCCAGGGAGGAGGCTTAGCACTGCTCCTGGCTGCCTGTGGTGGGAGGCTCCAGAACCAGCAGAGGGCCTGCCCAGGCCTGCTGGGTCCCAATCCCCCAAGGTCTGCTTGAATCTACTTGCTCCAAAGCCTCTGAGGCCTGAGAATGCTCTGGCCAGACATGGGCCCCCTGAAACAGGCTTGGCCTTGCTAGGGAGCTAACCTGGGCGTGCCAAAGCCTGCTCGGCCTTGGGGTCTTCTCATCCTGGCAGAGGCCTGATAAGATCTGGGGTGTCTGCCAGTGCTGGAGGCTTCCCTGGGTCCGAAGCAAGTTTAGATGTGCTCAGGTCGGGTTGGGTTCTGCTAATGGCCACAGACTTTGGGGAGGCCTTAGCAGGGCTCAGGTCTCTTCCCTGAGATCTGCTTACCCAGGGAGCCTCAACTGCATGGGCGTGCCCCCCAAAGTCTGAACCCTGACATTCCTGGCCCAGTCGCTGGTGGAATTGATCTGTATTAAGGGAGCTCAAGCCTTAGGCCTGGGCCGCCTTCAGCCCCTACCTCCCAGTATGGTGATCAGACGCGGGGGCGGACGAGAACTCTCCTAGTCTCTGTGCCCCGGATGGAAGCCTTCCGCGCTGACAGTTGGGTGAGGAACAGGTGGGGCCACTCACACAGCAGGGAGGGGTATGAAATGGACCGCTGCCGATCTGGGCAGCTCCTGCCCCGGAGACAGGGACTTTTATACCGCCACCCAAACCGCCTCCTGCAGAGCCTTGGGAGGAAGAGAGAAGTTCGGCACCAGGGACGCCACTGGGAGCCACGCACAGGGTCGCCCAGGCTGCACAGAGGACCTCTGCCCCTCCACGCTCCAGGGGCTGGGAGCAGCGTTCTGGTTCCGGCCGATCTCTCTTCCAGTCAGTACCCAGGTCTAGGGCAGTAAGACCGCAAAGCCTCGCTGCCTCCAGGCACTTCCAGCCCCACCTCCGAGGGCGTCCTGCGGAAAGGGCGGGGCCCAGGGCGGAGCCCAGGGCGGGGGCGGAGCCCAGGACGGGGGCGCGGCAGAGGCGGGGCCTGGAAAACCGAGAGGGTGGGGACAGGCGTCATCCCGAGCCAGTGCTCAGGGGCGTGGCCACCCCGGATGGGCCGCGCGTCCGCAAGGGGTGCGGGTCCTCGGCGTAGCGGACGGCGTGGACGCCTCGGTGCAGCGGCCCCTTTAAGTCCGGGCGCCACCCCGCGCCCCGCCTCCCGCGCGGCCTGGGTCTAGCTGGTGGCGGGGTCCGGTCCGCGCGAGCCGCGATGGAGCTGCACATCCTAGAGCACCGGGTGCGGGTGCTGAGCCTCGCCCGCCCGGGTCTCTGGCTCTACACCCACCCGCTCATCAAGCTGCTCTTCCTGGCCGCAGCCGGTGCGCGCCTGGGTTCGGGGGCGCAGATGGGGTTAGGGACTCAGCCGTCGCTCCGGACCAGGGTCGGAGGATTAGGACCGCCGCGAGGCGGGCGGGAGCGGGTGGGTAGGGCTTGCCGACTCCGGCCGCCATCCGGCCTGAGCCTGTCCTCCCTGGGACCGCCGCCTATCCGGCCGGTACAGCCCCCTCCCAGGACCGGTCAAGGCGAAAAGAGCTGGCGTGGGCCGTGCTTAACTCCGCGTGTCCGGTGGGGACATAGCTACCTGGTCCCCGCGGGGAGCTCCTTCCAGACGCCTCCTGTCAGGTCAGACGGGCTGGCCCGGGGGCCCAAGGTCCACCACCCTTGCCGTAGCGGCGGGCGTGAGCCTCTCCTCTCTCCCAGGCTGGAGGGGCAGGGGGCTCCGGGCGGGCTGGGGAGTGGAAAACAGTCCGTGATCCGCGGAGGTGAGACGCACGCCCCATTCTGGGGAGGAAATCCGACGCCAGAGGTGGGCAGGAAGGCACTCAGCAGGGGGTCTTTCAGGGGCGGAAGGAGCGAAGTCCACCCGTCCCGCCCCAGTTCTCCACCCCAGGCTGAAGATGCTTCCCCCCTCCCACCCAACTAGGTGCAAGTTCTTCAGCCTGACCGAGACCCCGGAGGATTACACGCTCATGGTGGACGAGGAGGGTTTTAAAGGTGGGGGCTGGTGGGAGGGAGAGCATGGGAGGGGCTTGTGGCGCTCCCCTCTGTGCAATATTCTCACCCCAGGCCTAGGCCACTGTCCCAGAAGCCGGGGCCTTAAAGGCAGTTGGATCTGGGTTCTAATTCTCTGCCATTCCCTGGCTGTGTACCCTTGAGCAAATCACTTCCCCTCTCTGAGCTGTGTACTCTTACGTAAAATGGGTGTAGTTACGGTTCTGATCTAATAGGTCCCATAAGAACTTTATAAACTTAAAATCACAAGGGGGGCTGTGTGTAAGGCAGGGGCACTTCGCAGTCAGGCCAGCAGCAGGAGTCTGAGTTAGATAGTTCCTGGTAAGGGTCAGGGGTTCTTGGGCTGTAACCTCAGAGGCATTATTTCCTCCTGGACTTGTCTCCTGGTGCAGGTCACCTCCCCCACTGCAGGTCTGGGAACTCCAGGAGTCTTGAGGGTGAGGAAGGAATGTGGGAGTCATCCCAGGGCAGGATCCCGGAGGGAGATGGGGGGCCTCCTGGCTGTGATTGGGTGAACAGCAGCCATCCCAACCCTGGGCCCTGCTCAGAACTGGATACCAGCCTGGTCCCTCCCTGGCCCTAGAGCTGAGTCCTGGCTCCTCCTGCAGGCCTGGTGCGTCCCTACAGAAAGGGGGTCTCAGGTCAGCCCTTGGAGCCTGGCGCTCCCTCTTTACTCCACCCAGGCCTTAGGTTCCCTGTTAATATAGTCAGAAAGTCTGGGTCTGCAATAGGGAAAGGCCGTTCCTCCAGCCCCTTCCTAGCTAACCTGGTCTGCTGGTGCCCTCTGGTGGTGCCACGTGGTATAAAGCCTGTTAGCTCACAGAACACTGCCACGAGGTGGATACTGTCATCCCATTTTACAGATGAGACCGAGACTTGAATCACTTGCCCTTCATCACACACCAAGTAAATGGCAAAGCTGGGATTTGAACCCAGATCTGAGACTGGAGCTCTGGTCTTAACTGGGAGGTTTCCATTCCCAGCAGGCCAGCCCCAAAGCACTGCTCAGTCTGCATACCCATGTCTGCAGGGGCGAAGATAGCCCTGGTCTCTAGACCCACACTTACCTTGGTAGAGCCCTCCAAGGCGGACAGGGAAACTGAGGCTTGCAGAGGGGCAGGGGCCCGTTCTGCAGGCCTTGACCAGTCCTGTGTTCCCGCCCACAGAGCTGCCCTCATCCGAGTTCCTGCAAGTGGCGGAGGCCACGTGGCTGGTGCTGAATGTGTCCTCTCACAGTGGGACTGCAGTGCAGGCCGCAGGGGTCACCAAGATCGCCCGGTCGGTCATCACGCCTCTGGCGGAGCACCACGTGTCGGTGCTGATGCTGTCCACGTATCAGACGGACTTCATCCTGGTGAGTGTCCTGCAGGTGCAGGGCACAGGCAGGGTGGGCATGGCTGCCTGGCAGCCCTCGAGATGTGCCATCTACCTGGCCCAGGTGCGGGAGCAGGACCTGTCGGTGGTCATCCACACGCTGGCCCAGGAGTTCGACATTTACCGCGAGGTGGGCGGGGAGCCGGTGCCAGTTGTCAGGGATGAGTCCAGCAACGGCTTTCCCCGCGCCCAGCATGGTGAGGGCCGCCCCTGACCTCCAACCTCGGGAAGACGAGGCGTCTCTGCCCTCAGGGGCCCTTCCCTGGGCGGCGGGTAGGTCTGCGGATGTGGGGAGGCCCGCTGACCCTGGGGAGGCGGGGCTCAAGGACTGAGTCTGGTTCCTGGAGAGCAGGAGCTGCACCCGTCCAGGCTCTTCCCTGACCAGCCACCAGGGGGCGCCCCAGCCCGCAGCCGCTCTCACCGGCCACCCGGTTCCCAAGCAGGGCCCAGCCCCACGGTGCATCCCATCCAGAGCCCTCAGAACCGCTTCTGTGTCCTCACGGTGGACCCTGAGAGGCTGCCGGCCATCGCTACCACCCTCATTGATGTCCTCTTCTACTCGCACAGGTGGGCCTCGCGTGCCCCTCATCTGTGTCCTCTGCACTGTCCCACCCCTTCCTCTCTCTCTATTTACTCAGCCCTCTTCCCTGGCCCTTGGGTGGGATTCCAGGCAGCCTGTGACACTCACATGCCCTTCACTGATGTTTGGGAATGTCCATCCTCAAAGCTAGGATCCACCTACCCCTGAGCTCTGCCCTGGCCTAGGCGGGGCTCGCTGTTCTCCCCAACCCCACCTGCACCTTTAGGCGGTCAGTGCCCTCAGACGGGAGGCCCCACCCATGCGGTGGGCTGCAGACCTGGCACGGCCCCCAACCTCCCTTCCCTCCCCAGCGCCCCCAAGGAGGCAGCCTCTGGCAGCTCTGAATCCAGCTGCATCCCGTTCTTTGCCTTCTCGCTCATCGAGGGCTACATCTCCATCGTCATGGACGCTGAGACGCAGAAAAAGTATGTGACCCTTGACCTCGGGTGGGCCACAGACCCTAAGCTGGCCCCAGGGAGAGAGGAGGTCAGCGGGAGGCCTGCATTGGGATTCACGGTGGGCAGGGGCAGGTGAGGGTGCCCTGCCCACTGCCCGCCTGCCCCCTCCCCAGGTTCCCCAGTGACCTCCTGCTGACCAGCTCCTCGGGGGAGCTGTGGAGGATGGTGCGCATCGGGGGACAGCCCCTGGGCTTCGGTGAGGGCCGTGCCTGTGGAGGGGTGGGGAGGGCCTGTGGGGTGACCGGGGTGAGCCACATGTACCTCCTCCACGCAGATGAGTGTGGGATCGTGGCCCAGATCGCCGGCCCCCTGGCGGCCGCTGACATCTCTGCCTACTACATCAGCACCTTCAACTTCGACCACGCCCTGGTGAGCTCCAGGGCCAGGGCGCCCCTGGAGGGAGACTGAGGCCCTGAGGGATGGGGGCAGGAGGTAGTCCCGGCTGGGCCAGGACATTGGGGCAGCCCCGGGCAGCTTCAGCCCTGACCGCGCCTGCCTGCCCGCAGGTGCCTGAGGATGGCATCGGCAGTGTCATCGAGGCTCTCCAGCGACGGCAGGAGGGCCTGGCCTCCTGAGGCCCTCACGGTCTCCCTTCGCCCCTGGGCTTCCGGAGACTTCTCTAAGCTATTTCCTCAAGCTCTGGGATGAGCCCCACTCTTGCTGGGTCCCCTCATTCCCATCTGTGTATTAAGCTGCGCACAGGCACCGGCTCTCACACGGATGGGTGCACCCTCAGGTGCTTCCCGGCCACGTGTCGGCCCACATGGGGCACCGCGGTGCCGGGGTGCGAGCCCCCAGCCCGTCACTCCCTCGTGGCCTCGGCGTTTGCACAGTCCCTGCCTGAGGCCCAAGCCACCCCCTCCTTGGCCCCAGGGTGGCCGCCACCCCCTACCCAGGGCCATGATCTCCGTTCTGCTCCTGGCTGGGCAGCCTTCTCCAGCCAGGTGAGTCGACAGTGCCTCCCCCTCCTGGGGCCTCCAAGAAAAGTATTTTTGCATCTCTCTCTTTTTTTATCAACTGTTTAAATAAAGACTGACTTTATAGTGACCAGGCTGGCTGTGGTCTCTGGGGATCTCTAGGCTGTATCTCAGCCATGGCGCCACCTCCTGGCTGCTCTGCGTAGCTGGCTCTGGGCGGGCGCACCTCCCTTCTCCACACCTGGCTCGAGTCTCGCAGGGGATCTGGGCAGTGCAGGATCCTCACCGTTTTCCAGGTGATGCAAAGCTTTGGGAACTGATGGGACTTAGCCCACCTCTCCTGAGTCCCAGCTGGGGCTGCTTGTCTCTTCTTCCTCGCTGCTTCTAGAATAGCCTGGATGGTTCTGTACATGGGCAGAGACTCCCAGGCCCTCCTGCCTGAGGGTCCCTAGGTCCCTGGCTGCTGTGACCCCCATCCAGGAGGGTCTGAAAGGACCTTCTGTCGAGGCTGCGTCGACTTTCTTCTGGGCCTTGCCTGAGTTCCGGCTGTCTCTTGTTGGCTAAGAGATGGGTCCCTTCCTGCCACCAGGCCTGTCCCAAGGAAGTGGTGAGAGGACAACCTGCCCACTAAGCTTCTCCCTGCTGGGGTACGGGCCAAGGGCCTGCCGGCCGCCTGGGGCCCACTCTGACCTCAAGCTCTGCAGCCGGGGCACATCTGGGCCTGGCTTTTCCTGTCACAGGCCTGCTTCCCTGCTCGGTGAGGCTGGGATTCCAGGGGGGCCCCACACATGCTCTGGGGAGATTATCGGGTGCCCTCAGCCCAGGCCCGCCCGCACTTGAGAAGGGAAGGAGGGTGTGACTTCTGTGTACTCGAGGTCAAGTCGGCTCCCGGGAAAGCCAGAACAGGGCCAGGCCTCTGGCATTGTGCCCGCCCCGTCCCTGGGGGCCAGGAGGGCTGGGGCCTCCCGCTGCAGATCAGAGCTGCTGAGAGCACAGCCCCAGGCAGGTGAGTGAGCGGCAGGGGACCACGGCCAGCCCCTGTCCTTCTGCCTCAGTTTCCTCACGCCTGTGGCGACCTAGAAGGGAGCCCTCGAGGAACCCCGGGAAAGGGGTATTTCCTTGGAGTTCTCCCAGGAACTCTCCCTGGAAGGCCCAGTGTGGACCCTGGCTCGGGGTGTCCTGGGCTTAAGGTAGGGGCTTCAGAACCGGGACCCTTGGGGTGGCCTGACCTGTCATTGAGAGGGCCTGGCCCATGTCCTGCTCAGAGGGGGTCCTGTCATTTGTCTGGGAGGTGCTGCCTGATTTGGGAGTTTCTGTCACTCTGGCTCTCCAAGGGCTTCAGGCCTCAGCCTGGTCCCTCAAATCAGGTCCAATTTGATCTTGGCTGGTTCTTCGGCCTGGCCTGGGTGAGTGGCTCCAGGCAGACCCTGCAGGCTGGTCTGACAGACCCAACCTGAGAGCAGCGTGCCCACATCTCCGGAGTGTTCGCGTGTGGGTTTTAGCTCCCAGGGCAGGAGGTCCTTAGGGTCACCGGGCCAGCTCTTAGCCTCCAGCAGGTTCAGAGAGGGAGTGCTGCTTTGGGAGTGTAGAGACCCTGAGACCCTCCTGGGGTCGGGTGACAGAGTTGAGTGGGACGTGCCTTCCAAGGCCGTGACCCTGGACCTCACATGCAGTGACTCTCTGGGTCAGGTCGGACAGACGGGGCCTTGAGCTCTCCGAGGCTGCGGTGGGGCCAGGCTCCTAGGACAGAGGAAGCCAGTCTGGTCAGCCTGGGCCTGGGGTCGGGCTCAGCATGGGCCACTCAGAACCGGGGCTGGGGGTACTCCCAGGATGGAGCCATGTCCTGAGCCTCCCGCCCTGTGAGCCCCAGCTCACCTGCCCTCAGCACAGGCCCAGGAGCCTCAAGGCTCATCCCCATGAAGATGGAGGCTGGCTGCCCAGGGAGGGCCCTGCCACGGTCCCTCTGGGAGCATCCAGCACCTTCTTCGAGAATATGGGCCTGGGGGTGGGACAGGAGAAGTGGAAACCTCAGCCAGGGAGTTGGTGGCTCACGCCCACCCTTTCTGGTCTTCATGCCGATACTGAGGAAGTGACCTAAGTCCCCAGAGACGTCGGAGCAGAAGTTCGGGGCTCCAAGTCCTCGTCCTCGTCTCCATCCCCGCAGGGCAGGGCTTCCAGCCTCACGCATGCCGAGCGCGCACGGCTGGCTTCCTGGGCCTCTGCAGAGGTGAGGGAAGACGCACACCCTCCTGGTTCCTCAGGATCCTGTCGGGTGGAAGGGCCTTGGTGGGAGGCAGGGGCGGGAGGACAGTGACCCCAGCTGGAAGCTGCTGTCCTCGTTCGCCTGGGGGCTTTTGTGCAGCGGGTGTGCTTTTGATTCACGTGGACACGAGCAGACTCAGTGCACTCTCTTGCGATCCTCCTTACACAGGTGGAAATGCAGCACAGAGAGGTCAGGCGATGTGGCTAAGATCACTCAGCTGGTATGGCAAAGCCAGAATTCCCAGTGTGCCCACAGGAGCCCAAGGAGTTTCCCCGGGGGAAGAGGCACTTTAGTTGAACTCTGAGGGACAGATGGGATTTTGCAAGATCCCTTGCAATCCCAGCTGTCTGCGTCGGTGGCCTGGTGTCTGCTGCCGGTGGCAACGGGTGCGTGGGCAGGCACGCGAGGCCAGGCTCTGGCTCCTCCCTGACCCTGGGCTGGGTAGGGTGTGTGCGTTGGGCAATGGCTGTGGTTTGTGTGTCACTTTCCCAGGCGGGTCCTGCTGCTGGGGGACCAAGGCTGCCTTTTTATTTTGTTATTATTTATTTTTAATTTACTATAGGACATGTGTGCTCACCAGAGAAAGAGGGAGAGAATGTGAGAAAGCAAGCTGCCAGGTTTGATACTTGAACCACAGTTGGTCGTGTGCGAGTCCAGTGCCCTAACCACACCATCTGCTGGTCCCAAGGCTGCCTCTTATGGGGAGTGGCTGAGCCTCCTCCTCGATAGGGTGGGGGTCATGGTGCCTGTGGGTGTGTGAGTGTGTGTGTTGTGTGGGTGTCTGCAGCGTGGGTGTGTGAGTGTGTGTGTACCTCAGGGGTGTCTGCCACATGGGTGTCTGCAGTGTGGGTGTGTGAGTGTGTGTGTTGTGTGGAGTATCTGCAGTGTGGGTGTCTGCAGCGTGGGTGTGTGAGTGTGTGTATTGCGTGGGTGTCAGCAGCATGGGGTGTGTGTGTGTATGTTGCGTGGGTGTCAGCAGCATGGGTGTGTGTGTGTGTGTGTGTGGCGTGTGTGTCTGCAGTGTGGGTGTCAGCGTGGGTGTGTGGGTGTGTGTGTTGCGTGGAGTGTCTGCAGCGTGAGTGTCAGCAGCATGGGTGTGTGTGTGTGTGTGTGTGTGCTGCGTGGGTGTCTGCAGTGTGGGTGTGTGAGTGTGTGTGTTGTGTGGAGTATCTGCAGTGTGGGTGTCTGCAGCGTGGGTGTGTGAGTGTGTGTGTTGCGTGGGTGTCAGCAGCGTGGGTGTGTGGGTGTGTGTACCTCAGGGGTGTCTGCCGCATGGGTATCAGCAGTGTGGGTGTGTGGGTGTGTGTGTTGCGTGGAGTATCTGCAGCGTGGGTGTCAGCAGCATGGGTGTGTGTGTGTGTGTGTGCTGCATGGGTGTCAGCAGCATGGGTGTGTGTGTATGTGTGTTGCGTGGGTGTCAGCAGCATTGGGGGGTGGGTGTGTGTGTTGCGTGGGTGTCAGCAG